AGGGCCTGCTTCGGGCCGTCAGACCTCTCCAAACCCGCCCGCGTCGACACGCACACCACAACACAACACAGCACAGCACAACACAGCACAGCACAGTACAACACAACACAACACACCACAACACAACACAACACGACACAGCACAACACAACACACACTCACACTACCACGCGCACACATATTCACACGCATCCGCACACATGCGCACATTCACACAAGCACACATTCACACACGCATGCACACGCACATACGCACACACCAGTATTGGGGATGGGGTCAAGATTTCCAGATCCAGCGCATAGAACACATTACGACGTCGGAGGAGGTCTGGGATTCGTGGCACTCGTGGTGCACCGCTCTACGGTTGATTGGGCGCTTTTCGTCCTTACCCCCTCTTCCTTCTCACTGTCCTTACCTTCCTCCTCTTCCCTCCTCTTCCCTCCTCCTCCTCCTCCTCCTCCTCCTCCTCTTCCTCACCTTCCTCACCCTCCTTCCGCACCTTCCGAACCTTCCTCTGGCTGATCATCCTGTCCCCCATCTGGCTCCTCCTAATCCCCATCTTTCTGTCTCCTCCCCCTATTCACAGCAGGGTTGCGAAGAGCTGGGACCCTAACTATCGTCATCAGCTAACGACACGGCCAGTGGGTAGGCGAGGCTTCAGCGCCGCTGCTGTTCGTTCCTCGGATCTTATGGTTCGGCAGAGGTGTTGTACCGTACTTCGCTCCGCGGAGGAGCTCGTCAATGCCGAGCTCCCTGGGCAACACAGAACATCACAGTCAACGCGCATAGTAAGGACGCGCGCCTTTTCTAGGGTATCCCTGTGTCCTTGCTTCTGCGGCCCGTCCTTTGCCGTTTCCATTCGGGTTTGGGCCGCCCGCCGCCCAGCAACTCCCGAGTTCGGCCTCCAAGGGTCTTGCGTCCTTGCCGCTCGTCCTTGATATACGGTTTCACTGTACTCGGGAGGCTCAACCGCTTTCTCGAATCTTATGGTTCGGCAGAGCTGTTGTACCGTACTTCGCTCCGCGGAGGAGCTCGTCAATGCCGAGCTCCCCAGGCAACACAGAACACTACCCGGGAGGCTCAGCCGCTGTGGGACGGAGGTCCGCCTCGGACTACCCGCACCCTCCGGAGCAGAGGCAGCTCGAGGCCAGGCCGCGAGAAAAGGAGCTCGGCGGGGCCCCGGCGCTCCTCCCCCGCGCGCCACCAACGCACAGCACAGCGAGTCTCGCCCTCCCGCGCGACCTGGCACGCACGCCGACCGCGGCATCCTGGGAGTGTCCAGTACAGTGCCGTTTTTAATGCATGCTCCGCGTGCGGATCATGTATTACAGGTGCAGGGATTTAGTACTTAAAAACAACGATGAGTTCATGCATAAGTTTATTCATACATTAATTGTGTATTCAAACTTCCACAATTTTAAGAATCCTATGTCTGAAAAACTGCCCTGTAGTATTCTCCCCTTGCTCCGTTTCCCCGCTTCTCCTCTGCCCCAGCAAGCTGGGCCTCTCCCTGGCAGAGGTCCATTCCGTCGGCGCGTCTTTTTGCGAGTGTGTCTCGGGCCGGATCGGCCCGCAGAGTCCACGAAAGCAAGTTGCTAGGATTCCGTGAGACCCACTGGGTTCCCGACAAAGTACATGGGGGCAAGGCCGATCTCTGTGCTCGAGCACGCGCGCGCGCGCGCGCGCGCGTGTGTGTGTGTGTGTGTGTGTGTGTGTGTGTGTGTGCGTGCGTGCGTGCGTGCGTGCGTGCGTGCGTGCGTGCGTGCGTGCGTGCGTGCGTGCGTGCGTGCGCGTGTGCGTGCGTGCGTGCGTTCGCGTGTGCGTGTGCGTGTGCGTGTGCGTGTGCGTGTGCGTGTGCGTGTGTGTGTGCGCGCGCGGGAGACTGGCACATTGACTGGAACAAAGAAGACCTCAAGGACTTCGCCCTCCTGATCTCCGAGCGCCCCCCCATAGGACACCTCTGCGACATGAGGCCCATCTGGCCCCCCTCCTCCGGCGGGCTCCTCTGACGCCGTGCCCAGGACCGGGTACCTTACCAATCGCATCACAGTTGCGATCGATGCTCGGAAAGGGCGCGCTCTGCATCCCAAATATTCCCCCCACGTGGCACCAGCCGAAGGCGAGGTGTCCGGGCCAATTGCAGTCCTACAGGGTGTGGACGGCAATGCAACGGCTCTTAATGCTCGAGTCCCAACTTGACGATATGTCAGGAATTCCCGTCGAAATTATCCCCTACGTGATGGCCTTTCGCGCCGCCCCTCCCGAGGACAAGGTTAACAAACACGGGGGGCCGGCTACGTGCACGCGCAGCCGCCACATTCAACCTGTGGATCCCCGACCCCGACGGGTACACTCTACTCCCAGGGGCCCTGCCCATCACCGCCGCCGAGGCGGCTGAATGGCCTGGGAGCGTCTTCCAGCGACACTTTCCTTCCCCTTGCCGGCAGACGGCTGAAGACCTTGCCAGGAGGCACGGGCTAAGTGATGTCCCTCGATGCGATGGTGCTCCTGGTACATGGCCTCCCTGGCACGGGCCAGGCCAAGACCGTGGCAGCGCTGATCGACGTGTGGATGGGCTGTGTGCTGCACCCCAGACGGCTGGGCGGTCGGGTTGTCCGCGGGCTCCAACGAGGGAGCTGACATGCCGGCCAAGTACCTTACCGACGCCCACTTGAGCGGCAGACCAAACGAGTGCGGCCGCTTCCCAAACGCAGCCGTCCGATTTGCCAACCCTGACAAGGTCACCAGCCCCGAAGCCCGCGAGTTTACCCCCACCCAGCGGTGCAGCAGGACGTACGGCATGGCCATCGGTGACATCGGTGTCAAGGCGCTAACGCGAGCAAGGAAACAGGACCTCGCCAAGGCTCGCCTCGTCCTCGCCACGCTCGAAGCGGCGGCTGAGCTGGACTCCCCAGACAACCCTAATTTGCATATTACCATCCGCGACGAAGCCCCGCAGTTTGCCAAGCCACTGGCCGCTATCCCCCCGATCCCTCGCAGCACGCAGCGGAGGGCGCCTCGGCGCTCGAGCGCTTCCACGACTCCCTCGGGACCGCGCCCCAGCACAACGTGCTGCTCAGCATGTGCTACCGTATGCACAACAGCATACGCCAATGGCCATCCGACGCCTACTGTCAAGGCGCATTGCTTTCCCGCCTTGCCAATGCCCTCGCTCAGAGGCCGTCCATCTTTGGGATCTCCTGGGCGCCGGCCGACCCAGTCCAGTTGTCCCCCGACACGCGCCTACCCAGCAGCGCCCCTGGCGACTCACCCGACATCGGGACGCACGGCTTTCTCAGCGCCAAGTGCGGAGTTCAGCTGGGTCACGAGAAAGCCGCCGAGCTGCCGCTCACCTTGGTTGAAGGTGCGGCCAACATGATGGAGGCTGCCACATGCAGTCTGCGACATCGTCAGGTCAGTGGAGGGACGTCTGCTGGAGACTGGCATGCGCGCGCTGATCGTCTGCCGTCGGATGGCCGAAAGAAGCAAAGGGCAAAATCCTCCCAATGACCTGAGGGAAGGCAATGTTTGTGACCACTGCGGGCCCTCCTGGTGGACCTCCTTGGGAAACCTCGGCACGAGGGAAACCCTAGGAGAGTTCGGAATTTTCGGTGGGGGCCCCTTACAGGCTCCTCAGGACTGAGGACTGAGCCTCCAGGGATTAGGCAAAAGGACCAGTGGACACGCCCACTCCGTGCTCAGAGGCATGGTGGCGGATCATGGTTCCCCTCAGAAGAATCGCATGGCATTCGCATGAAGGCCACATTCGCATTCTACGGTATTCATATTACTTTCCGGGCAGACTCGTATGGTTCACCCGTGCGAGCGATATAACATCCGCATGGTGACAATGCTGCTTTATTTCGAGAAGCATATGGTGCTGCTACGGAATCCGGTGGTTTTCCTATCAGGGCCGTGATGTTCTCGTACGAGAACGATCTGCTTGCCGATGATGGCATACTATTACATAAACAGATGGCATCCACATGGAAATCATACGGCTTTCCTGTGGGAATCATACGTGTTTTGGATGTTTGGGTTGTTTTTTTTCCCCACATCCTAAGTGGGGTTCTTGCTTTCTTTAGACACCCCGCGCAGTCCTCCCACACCCTCTCCTCTTCACACCCACTCCTATCATCAAACTCATCATCTCATCAGCATCAGCATCAGCATCAGCATCACCATCAACAACAATATCAGCAGCATCATCAACATCAGCATCATCGCCATCATTCATCATCTGATTCATCATCATCCGCATCATCCGCATCATCATCATCATCATCATCATCATCATCATCATCATCACCATCACCATCACCATCACCATCACCATCACCATCACCATCACCATCATCATCATCACCACCATCATCATCATCATCATCATCATCATCATCATCATCATCATCATCATCATCATCATCATCATCATCATCATCATCATCATCATCATTACGGGCCATCGGAATCTTGTAAATGTCGACACTTTGGGGCTCCTGAGGCCTGAATATGGAGGAAGTATCGGGCGGGAGCCTCGTCTGTGAGCGAATTGCGAGGAAGTCTCAGGCGGGAGCCCCCTCCTTACGGGCCCGCAGCTCATGTTTGTAATCCCAGCGGGTCATCGGAAAACTTGTATTTATCATCATTTTTGAGCCCTTGAGGCTTGACTCTGGGGGCAGTATCAGGCGGGGAGCGTCGTCTGTTAGTGAGTTGCAAGGAAGTCTCAGGCGGGAGTCTCTGCCGTATGGGGCCTGCAGCTCATGTTTGTAATCCGAGCGGGTAATCGCCAAACCCTTCATTGTCGTCATTTTTGGGCCCCTGAGGCTTGAATCCGGGGGGGGGGTACCAGGCAGGAGCCTCGTCTGTTAGTGAGTTGCGAGGAAGTCTCAGGCGGGAGCCTCCGCCCTACGGGGCCCGCAGCTCATGATTGTAATCCGAGCGGGCCATCGAGAAACCTTTCGCTGTCGTCATTTCTGGGCCCCTGAAGCTTAAATATGGGGGAAGTTTCAGACGGTGGGCTCGTTTGTGAGTGAATTGCGAGGAAATCTCAGGCGGGAGTCTCCGCCCTATGGGGCCCGCCGCAGCTCATGTTCGAAATCCGGGGCGAGTCATCGGAACTTTGTAAATGTCAGCATTTTTGGCCTCGTGGGGCCTGAGCGTGGAAGAAGTTTCAGGCGGTCGGGAGCTTCGTTTGTGAGTGAATTGCGAGGAAGTCTCAGGTGGGAGCCCCCTCCCGATGGGGCCCACAGCTCATGTTTGTAATCCGAGGCGGGTCATATTCAAACTCATATTTGTCGTCATTTTTGGGCCCCGAGGTTTTGAATTTTGGAGGAAAACTTTGAATTATAGAAGAAATCTCAGGCAGGAGCCTTGTTTGTGAGTGAAGGGCGAGGAAGTCTCAGGCGGGAGCCGCCTCCCCATGGGGCCCGCAGCTCATGTTCGAACTCCGAGGCGGGTCATCCGAACCCTGTAAGTGTCGTCACTTTTGGGCTCTGGGGGCTTGAGTTCGCATGACAAAGCACGGGGTCGCACTCCGTGCGCCGTTCGGGGTTCACCATGACGCACGCGTCCTACCTCACCTCCACGCTGTCGTAGGGCCAGACGCTGCGCAAGGCTGTCACCATCGACTGCGCGAGGGACGGGGGCGCTGGCCGCACGGGCATGTTGGACGACCAGTGGTGCCTGCACCTCTACGTCATGTCCCGCGCCACGTGCATGTGGAACATGCTGATCCTGCGGCCGCCGCCGCGAGAGTTCCTGGAGCGATGACCGCCGTCATCCTTGCGGAAGGCGCCCTTGAAATCTGACCTCGGGGCGGGGAGCTCCAGGGCATAGGCGGAGCAGCTCGCGGCAGAGATGGGTTTCGTGCCGCCCCCCGCCTGAGCGCGGCGGGGCCTTGCTCGAAGCCCGCGGGGTTGTCCCAACGGCTTGGTCTCGCGCGCCAGCGGTTCGCGGGGTAGTCCCGACGGCCTGGCCCGCGGGGTTGCCCCAACGGCTGCGGCGCAATGTGGAAATAGAGATTGCGCCTGCGCTGGCCGAGGCAGCGACGGCGACGAGGAACATCGACGTGCGCGCTCATGCAATAGAAAGGGGGGAAGAGGCGGGGGATGACACAAAAAACGAGGTGAGGACACCGTAGGGAGCGGGAGGAGAGCTTGCGCCAAGGCGAGGAGGAGAGTGACGCAGAGGAGACAGTCGGAACGCTTCAACATCATTTTGGGGAAGGACCGAAGTCCTCAACGGGCCGCACCCGGAGCGCCAATCCTTTCGCCACGGAGCCGGGGAGCAAACCATTTGGCCCAGCTTGCTAGGACATTTGCCATTTTCCTCTCTCCATTCCTGAAGGGGCCCAAAGACACAAATGAATACACACAAGTCCCAAGATACCCACATTTTCTCATATGTATTGGGTTTTCGTTTCCCCCCCACTTCCAATAATTGCCCATCTTTTCTTGGGAATCGACGATGAATTGTGTTTGTGTGTATTTTACCTTCTGACCCCCTCCCTCTTGCCCCTCCTCCCCCCCCTTCGGTTCGCCCAGCAGCCCGACGACAGCGCGCCTTACGGAACCATGCTGCACGTGGATCCACACCCGCCGGAAGGCCGTGCCCGCCCCGGGTGGGATGTCGGAGGCGACGGCAGGGGCGATTATTTCTGGGGTGCACCCAAGTCTTCCTCCTCCTCCTCCTCCTCTTCCTCCTCCTCTTCCTCCTCTTCCCCCTCCTCCTCCTCCTCCCCTTCCTCCTCCTCCTCCTCCTCCTCCTCCTCCCCCTTCTCCTCCTCCTCCTCCTCCTCCTCCTCCCGAAGCTTCCCATGCATTATTTTCCCACCCGCATGCTTTGCCCACTGCTGTCACGCAGGCGTCTCGGCGCCTCCTCCGCCACGCCTTCACCGTGCTGCGTGCGCGGGGCCGTAGCCGCACCCGTAGCTGTAGTAGGGGCGCCTATGGTTCATGTCTCCGGCGAGGCTCCTGGAAAGATAGGCGTGATGCCCGCCCCTGGGCTATTCGCCCCATCGTCGCCTCCGCGGGTGGGCGGGAACGTCACATGGAAAAAGGCCTTTGGTCGTCGGGACAGTCAGAGGGCGCCAGCTATCGGGCGACGAAGTCTATACATATCCAGTGCTCCCTGGTCTGGCCATTCCTGGGCCCAGGAGTCGTGAATTCGCCCTTCTGGCCAAGCCAGGAGGGCGTGGCGTATACACCGCTGCTGTGCTGAGGATGGCCTTGGCAAGGGATCAGTGGATATGTTTAGATTTCGTCGCCCCAATCTCTGCACCTGGATCGATCCTGCCCAGCCCAATCTCGGTCGTGGAATGGGCTCCGCCAGCCTCAGCTGTTGGCGGCGCGCGCGGGGAGGCGGCGCCAGGGGGGCTGCATTCCAAGAAGGCGGGGGAGTTTCTGAGCAAGCACCACGAGGGTGCGAAGCTTGCCGCGCTTCGCGGTCTGGGCGATTTCTCGGAGCGGGGCGCGAGTTCCTCCTCCTGTTCTGGGAGGCGCGGGGGGTGGGGCAGCGGCGCGAAAGCGCGAAGGTCATCGCGCTTTCGCTCGCGCCTTCGCGGGGCGCCAGGCGCGCATCCAGTTGCCGCAGTTCTCAGAGGGCCGCCCCCCCTCGCGCAGCGCCCGTCGGGCGCGCCGCCCCGACAAAATGGGCAGGGGCCGTGTCGCGCAGCGGTGGCGCAAGGCTCAGCAGCTGCCCTTGGCCCCCGACCCACGCGCTGCAGCAGGAGGACGCAGGGTGGGGTCACGCGCCCGCGAGCTCCCGCGCCTTCCCCAGGCGAAGTGCGCGCGCTGTCTCGCAGCAAGAGGCGTCCGCGGCTCGGTTGGTTCGGCGGAGCCGCGGTCGGTCCGACTCGGTCGGCTGTGCGTCGTGCTTGCGTCGATGCGTCGCTCTGCGCCCTTGCAGGATGCCTGTGGCCTGCGGGCCTCGGTCGGCTTCGGTTTGGCCGTCGGTTCGGCGGGTGTTCGGTCGTGCCGGCGCCGCGGACGGCCTGACATGCCTCGCAGCTCGGCGCACCGCCAGGTGGGAAGGCAGCCGTCCACCCCCTGCTCAGCAGCCGCCCCCTCCGTCCAATCGTGTTCGACGACCTCTCGGTGCATCTTGGCGCGTCCTCAGCAGGTGCTCGCCGTCCTCCGTACTCACGCCGTCCTGTCATTGTCGCTGGCTCTGATTTCATCGTATTGCGAGGGGGGCTCGCGAGGGAGACGGAGGAGGTCAGGGGCAACGTTAGGTGGGGATGGGCTCAAGGGGGGTATGCATCGACCTCTCATCGCTCTCTCATCACCGAAAGGGGCCCGACAGCTCACTGGGCATTGGAACGTGCTTTTTCGCCATCGGGGGCCTATCGCCGATCTACCAGGTCGATGCCCTCCCCCTGCACCCCGCCCCTCACCTGAGCCGGTCCCCCCTATCGTAGTGGGAGCGGAGAAGAGGGAGGCCACAGGAAGGGAAGGGCGGGGGAGGATGAAGGTCAGGAGGGGTAGGGGGGAGGAGGGTTTTTTGGGGGTCACCTCGTGCTCTCTGACTCCACCGTGGGTTCTCGCTGGCCGCAGTCCGCGGAAAGGACGGCAGGTTTGGGCAGGGGGCGCACGTGTGCCGCACGCGCCTCGCGCTTCGCACGCGCACGACGGCAACCACACGCGCACAACAAGCTCCAACCCAGCGCAGCCTGAGGGGGGGGGGAGGGAGTGGGGGAAGAGGGGGTGGGGCAGGACGGGGAGGAGGAGGGGGAGGGGGAATGGGGGAGGGGGAGGAACAGAGAGAGAGAGAGAGAGAGAGAGAGAGAGAGAGAGGGAGAGAGGGAGAGAGAGAGAGAGAGAGAGGAGCTCTCCCGGAGCGCGGCGCGTGGGGCCCCGAGGGCGCCAAGTGTGCACCTGCACCGATCCTCCTGGCCCGTGCCCATCTTGGGCCCAGGACCGCTGTGTGAGCCTCTGCCGGGCCCAGCTGGCAGGGCGTACAGGGCAGTTTTTTTTGTGTGTAGATTTTTTAAAGAAATATTTAAAACATAGATAAAAAACAAACAAACATGGGATTGTTTAATACATGACTAATGTATGAATGAATTTATGCATGAACTCATCGTTGCTTTTAATACTAAATCCCTGCATGTTTAACACATGATCCGCACGCGGAGCATGTATTTAAAACCGCACTGTACTTTCGGGGCCCCAGGGCGCCCTTCGACGCCGCAGGGCTTCGTGTTGCCGGTGCTCCTCGTGGCCACTCCGCCTCCACGTCCCCGTGGCCATCTCTCCAAGCAAGGTGGGCGTGAGGGAACCTTTATTCAGAGCCCCAATTCATCAGGGGTCACTCGGGTCAGGGCTGACTCGGGTTCGCTTTTTGGGATTCCGAACCCGAGTTACCCCGGGCCCGAGTTACCCCGGATAACTCGGGCGCCCAGAGCCCCAACTCATCAGGGGTAACTCGGGTCAGGGCTAATTCGGGTTCGCTTTTCGGGAATCCAAATCCGAGTTACCCGGGACCCGAGTTACCCCGGATAACTCGGGCGCCCAATTTATTGTGGAGCAATGCCTGTGATCCCCTTCTTTGCTTTCCTGCCGGTGGCTGGCCAAGCGAGCCAGGACAGAACCCCCTCTCTCTCTGACACGTCGATCAGTGAGTTGTCCGTTTTTGGTTCTCGAGAGGGCGCCGCGGCTGTCCTTTTTCCAGGTTTGCGCCCGCCAGGTTTAGGCACCAGGTCGTTTTCACTAAGCCATCTTTTACAAAAGGGGGTTCTGTCCATCCCCGGGCACTGTTGAGGCCCCAAGGAGTGGCCAGTCACCGCCCCCAGGCCGACATCCCACTCGGGGTCGAGCCGTCCACACATCAAATTGCCAATAGCACACCTCACCTCAAATTAGATGCCGCGTGACACAAATAACGCTGACCGGCGAACTCGCCATGCTTGAAATCGCGTGAAACAGATGTAACTCGACCTGCGAACTCCCTGTGCCTGAAATGGAGTGAACTCGCCACGCTCGACCTGCGAACTCGACCAGTGGTAACGCAGTGGAACAGGCGTGGGCCGTCGCTTCGAAACGTCCACCACCTACGCATCGCGCGCAGCAGGCAGAGCGTGATCGTGATCGGTGTTTCTCTGATGTCAGTGTCGTCGTTTCTGTGAAGACGCGGGCCCAGTGGGTCCACATCTTCACGGCGCCGCCATCGTCCGCCTCGGCAGTGCGTCCTAGAGGAGGGCCGGCGAGAGCATCCTCCCGGCGGAGGCAAAGCCTACGTCCCGCCCACGGAGCCGCTGCCGTTGCTCCCGCAGCTCGAGCGCAACGTGCTCACCGACGCCCTGGAGGTTCTCGGCCCCGCTCTTCTGGGGGGGGGGATCGAGGGGATGGGGGAGAAGGAGGGAGGGGAGGGGAGTGTTGGAGGGAGGGGGAGAGAAGAGTCAGAGGGAGGGGTCGTGGAGCGGTGTTGGGGGAGGAGGAGATGGGAGGAGGAGGATGAGGAGGAAGAGGAGGAGGAGGAGGACCAGGGTAAACGGGTAAACCCAAGAATCATTCACGATGTTGAAATAAACCCTTCCTCCAAGTTCCCTCGTCATGGGCCCCTACAACGGTTCATTTCCATTGAGCGCCTCGTTGGAAGATAACCGATTGAAGACCCTGAGGCATGCCAAAACATTGTTCTCGGGACTCCAACGCCACGGGTCAACTTGACTGTTGCGTTTTGACGATCCTGAATCGTGCCAGAACACCATTCTTGGGACTTTAACACCGCGAATGAACATAACTGTTGCGCCCGCTCAATCCTGAATCTTTTCAAAGCACCATTTCTGGTACATACGTTGATGATGGGATCCCGTGGACCTCTTGTAGATTGTATTCACGAATGCGCGCGGCGCTAAGGCGGGAACCACATTTTCAAAAGGAACCGCTCTCGATCCGTAAAACTCTTGCAATTGTTTGAAACGAATGTGCTCGGCGCTAAGGCGAGAGCCACATTTTGAAAACGGGCGCCACTCATTCCGCGAAAGTCTTGCAATTTTTTGAAAGGAATGTGCACGGCGCTAAGGCGAGAGCCACATTTTGAAAACGAACCGCCTTGAATCCAAGCGAAAGCCGCATTTCGAAAACGACCCGCCCTCCATTTGTGAAGCTGTTGTCAATTTCAGGGTCATAAATGGTGAGGAAGTCTCAGGCGAAACGCCCGGCCCGCCCTAAAAACTGGCCTCGGGGTGCGACATGGAGAAGTTGTTTAGAAGGAAAAGGAATGGAGGAGGAGGAGGAGGAGGAGGAGGGGGAGGAGGAGGAGGAGGAGGAGGGAGAGGAGGAGGAGGAGGAGGAGGAGGAGGAGAGAGGAGGAGGAGGAGGAGGGAGGAGGGGAGGGGGGAGGCCGGGGGAAAGGAAGGGGGGGGGGTCGAGCAGGGGGTGGGGGATTTCGGAGGGGGGGGGGACTCCCGGGTTCCGGAGGAAGAGGGGGGAATTTTCCACAGTAAAGCGGCGGTGGATCATGCTCTCTCCCCTACTGGAATCTAGGGTTCAGGACAGAGAACACATGAGAGATTGGGGATAGCTCCGCTTCGTGCCTCGAGGCACGGTGTCGGATACTCCCACATACGTCTACTAAGTATCTTATAGTGTTTCTAACTACACGGTGCGCAATATCGACGCATTCCTACATCTGACCGCTTAGGCTGTGTGGTCCCCCGACTGATCCATGGATTTGGTCTGGGTATGTGTATGGATCGATCGACCATGGGCTGAATCTATCAACGGCGTGTACGGCTTCTTTTCCACTCATTGTTCTGCTGATCTGTTCTTCGCCAGTCTTGTGATCGAGTGCAGCGTGTGGTAGTTTCAGCATCGCGCATTTGTTTGTTTCGGGCCTGCGTCATACCACAGTCAATGGTCTATGACGCATGTGTTCTGTCCTAGTTCTCCTCGCTTCGCCCTTTTGCGCTCAACTCGCGTTCGCTCTCGTGCTCCGGCAGGCGCTCGCGCGTCGCGTGTTCGCCCACGGCCTCTGACCAAAGACGGGTTTGGTCCGAGCGGTGACTGTCAATGTTCTTGAACGTGCATGTGGGAGGAGCAAGCGATCCGAATATCTGTCCCATCAACCTCTCTCCGAGAGGGACGCATCGGAGTGTGAAGAATTGGGGGTCCTTGGAAAAAGAACGGGGGCGGCGGATCGAAGACGCCTACGGCGAATCGCCGCCGCCGCCTGCCTTTGGAAGCGCCGACATTGCCTAACGGTGCGTCCAGTGCCAGATCGGCCATGCTATCGGACTATGTGTTCTCCCAGCCGTTGTGGAAACTCTTCGGGGAACACGCGGGGGAGACCGACGAATAGGAGGAGAGGGAGGAGGATGATGATGATGATGCTGATGCTGATGGTGATGATGATGATGATGATGATGATGATGATGATGATGATGATGATGATGATGATGATGATGCTGTTGTTGCTGATGATGGTGCTGCTGATGATGATTATAATGATGATGCTAACGCTGATACTGATGCTGCTGCTGATGATGAGATGATGATGATGCTGATGATGATGATGGTGGTGGTGATGATGCTGATGCTGATGCTGCTGATGCTGATGCTGATTATGATGCTGATGATGCTCATGATGATGACGATGATGACGATGATGATGCTGACGATGCTCATGATGCTGATGATGCTGATGCTGATGCTGATGCTGATGCTGATGATGCTGATGCTGATGCTGATGCTGATGCTGATGATGATGATGATGATGATGATGATGATGATGATGCTGATGCTGCTGCTGATGCTGCTGCTGCTGCTGATGATGATGATGATGATGATGATGATGATGATGATGATGATGATGATGATGATGATGAGAAGGGAGGACGGGGCAAGTTAGGAGGGATGGAAGGAGGGAAGCAGGGAGGGAAGGAGGGAGGGAGGGAAGGAGGGAGGGGGAGGGAGGGAGGGAGGGAGGGAGGAGGAGGAGGAGGAGGAGGAGGAGGAGGAGGAGGAGGAGGAAGAGGAGGAGGAGGGAGGAGGGAGGATGGACGATGTAATGTAGGAGGCAGTCGGACGTAGGAGGATATGGTGGAGGAGGGACGAGGAGGACGACAGTGCGCCGAGACCTCGATCTGGAGCCTCCAGCCTGAAGGAGCCTGAACGACGACGACGACGACGACGACTCCCGACGTCCTCAGCCTGGGCGAGCGGCGGCGGCGACAGCGGCGGCGGCAGCGGCGACCGCCAGTCGCCGCCGGCTCCCGGGCTGGCCTTCGTCCACTTCGCCGTCTCCCGGGGCTCGCCGCAGGCCGGGGGAGGGGAAGCCCTGGAGGAGGAGGAGGAGGAGGAGGAGGAGGAGGAGGAGGAGGAGGAGGAGGAGGAGGAAAAGGAGGAGGAGCACCCTCTTCATGCCACTCCGGCCCCGACGGCCCGTTCCAGCCTCCCCTCGCGCGCCGAACGCACCCCCTCACGCGAGCCAACGCTCCCACGGCTGGCTTTGGGCAGGCCCATTATGCTTTCCCCACGCGATCTACCCCCCCCCACGCTTCTTGAGCAGCTCGGAGTAACCACAGCCAGAGAGGAGGGGGAGGGCCCTGGGCCTGGCTGCGGGACTTTGTCCCCTCTGGGAGATTGCGGGCCCCCCGAGCGGTGCGGAGACCACACCGCGTGGTGTGTCGGTGGGGATTCGGAGTGGCCGCACGGTTTTGGGACGTGTGTCGCTCTCCGAGCACGTCTCGGCGGAGATCCCCGCGCGGTCCGTCACCGCACCGTTTTCCGAGCATGTTCTTCGGGTGGAGGGCACAGGGTGGAATCCCAAATGCCATTTTGTCGAAATTATCGCCACCCAGTTTTGCCTTCTCGCCGAGGCCAGACAAGACCCTCTGACACCTCGCGAGGCGCCCTGTCCAGGTCCAGGCGTCGAGACCCTTCCCCGCCCGCAAACCCTCCCGATCCCAAGTAGCACCCGAGCCGCAGCGTGTTCAGCGGTAGTCATACGGACAGCTGCTGGGAACCAAGTCAGACCCCATGTGCGCATTGCTGGGGCGAGGTGTGCCAGGCGTGCCAGACGCGCCATGCGCGCCAGGTGCGCCAGGCACGCATGTGGCCCAGGCGTGCCAGGCACGCCTGGTGGGCCAGATGCGCCACGTGATCCACGTGCGCAATGTCAGCCGCATGATCCTGCCGCGCCAGGTGCGCCGCGTTCGGGGCACGCGCAGAGTGGGCCAGGTGCGCCTGCGCACGTGGCAGTACACATCGGGAGACGTGTCGCCCCCCACCATCCTTGTCGAAAACCAGTGCGCAATCGCGGCGGGGTGGCCATCATAGCGTTTGGTGGGCTTGCACATAGCAGGCAATATGCCAGCACACCCGCCGTCCCAGTCAAAAACCAATGCGTAGTGATCGCGGGGTGCCCGCGCTTGCTGGCTCGGTGCGCAGCAGGCACTATGCGGGCACCCCCGCCGTCGTTGCCAAAGAACAATACAAAGTGCTCGCGCACCCCCCGATCATGACCTAAGCTTTTGGTCCACAGTGAATTTTACATTGTTCTTTGACTGGGATGGTGGGGGGTACCCTCATTGGTCATGGTTGGCTGCAGGTCGCCTGGGGAGGGGGTGTTCATAAATAGGGAACAGTGACACACCCCTCCCCGAAGGGGAAGAGGGGGGGGTGAAAATGAAACCCGCTAAACCACTCACGCCCTAGAGGGCTGGCGGGATTTCTAGAATCTGTAGGGTTTTAGAATTCCGGATTCACCTGTCGAGCGACTTTCGCGTGCTCGTTCACCTGTCGGGCGATTTTTGCGTGCTCGAAGGACCCCGCGCGATCGCTTCCAGACCAGAAGGGCTCAGAAAGCCTCGGAAAGACTACCAATTATCCCCATGAGGAAGCGCCGCAATGGTGTAATAGTTGAAGCCCAACGCTGCGCGTACGCATGCCGATGCACCACGCGTGATTCACCCTGCAGGTCACCAGGCCCCTCGGCGAACGGGTTCTCGAGGTGCAGACGCCGCTGTGGACTTTCACCCTCAGCCCTACAGTGCCGTTTTTGATAAATGCTCCGCGTGCGGATCATGTATAAAAAATGCATGGATTTAGCATTAAAAACAACGATGAGTTCATGCATAATTTTATTCATACATTAATCATGTAGTCAAATTCTGTTTTAACATATCCTATATCTTCAAAACTGCCCTGCATGCTCAGGATTTGGGACCCGCGGGCCCCAGCTGGGCCTGGGACCGCCCCCTCCGCTCCGAGTGTGGGCGGGGCCTCCCCTCTCCCTTCGGCAGGGCGCCGCGGTGCTGGCGGGGCGGCGGCGGGCCAGCCTGCTGTACGCGTCGAGCACGCGGGGGGCCGCGCGCCCAGCGCGGTGCTCGTCGTCGCCGTGGGCGTCGGAGAGGGGCGGTGGGAGGAGGATGAGGATGAGGATGAGCATGGTGATGGTGATGATGATGATGATGATGATGATGATGATGATGATGAGGAGGATGAGGATGAGGATGAGGATGAGGATGAGGATGAGGATGAGGATGAGGATGAGGATGAGGATGAGGATGATGATGATGATGATGATGATGATGATGATGATGATGATGATGATGATGACGTGTTGGGAAGAGGATGAGGATGGTGATGCTGCTGATGATGATGGGAGGAGGGGCCTGGTTTCTGTAGAACGCTATGGTGACGATGGCGATGGCGACGTCGACGTCGACGTCGACGACGACGATGGCGATGGCGATGGTGGTGACGATGACGAAGACGACGATGACGAAGATGATTGTGCTGCTGATGCTGATTATGATGATGCTGATGGTGCAGATGATGATGACGATGATGATGACTTTGATGATGGCGATGCTGATGATGATGGTGGTCATGACAGTGATGATTAAGATGATATTAATGATGACGGCGGTGGTGGTGTCGATGGTGATGCTGAGGCTGATGAATATGATGATGAATATGAATATGATGATGATAATGATGATGATGATGATGATGATGATGATGATGATGATGATGTTCATGATGATGCTGATGATGATGATGATGATGATTCTCAAGATGGTGGTGGTGAGAACGACGATGATGACGATGACGATGACGATGACGATGTCACCGACACCGACGACACCGACGACCATGATGATAATGATGATACTGATGATGATGATGATGATGATGATGATGATGATGATGATGATGATGATGCTGATGAGGATGCTGAGGCTGATGCTGATGATGATGATGAGTAATATGATGATGGTGATGGTGATGATGATTCTGATGATGATGATGATGATGATGACGATGATGATGACGATGATGATGATGTCGATGCTGTTGATGATGATGATGATGATGATGATGATGATGATGATGATGATGATGATGATGATGATGATGATGATGCTGATGCTGGTGATGATGATGATGCTGATGCTGATGCTGATGCTGATGCTGCTGATGATGATGATGATTATGATGATGATGATTATATGGTTATTATTACTATTATGATGGGGGATGGTGCCAATGATGATCAGCACGGATTGAGGGCGGGAGTGAATTGGATGTTGAGGCCGTTTCAAGAAAAGACCATCGAGGCCCCGATTTGGTGATGACGATGAGGACGATGATGATGATGACGATGACGATGACGATGGCGACGACGATGCTGATGACGCTGATGATGACTATGACGACGGTGCTGCTGCTGATGGTGGTGATGATGATGCTGCTGCTGATGATGATGGTTATCATGGGCATGATGCTGATGATGATGATGATGTGGTGATCGTGATTGTGATGATGCTGATGATGCTGCTGATGTTGATAGTGCTAATGATGCTGATGATGATGCTTGTGATGCTGTCCTCGATAATGGTGATGATGCTGATGATCATGATGCTGCTGATGGTAGTGGTGATGCGGATGTTGCTGATAATGATGCTGATGATGATGACCCCGATGATGTTGCTGATAATACTGATGATGACAGCTGTGATGACAATTGGTGATTACGATAATGATCAGGAGGATGAGGAGGACTGATCGTTTGCAGCATGCATGTAGTGTGCAGTCTGCCCCCTCCGCCTCCGTTCCCCCGTCCTCCTCTTTTCTCTTTTTTTCTTTCTGTTCATGCCTTTTCCCCGTCGCCGTGGTTCACGTCTGCAGCGTGTCGTCCCTGCCTTTCTGGCTCGACGTGGAGTGCGGGCGTGGCTCCGGGTTCTGGCACGTAAGGAGTGTGCCGAAGATGCCGTGGGCCCAGGGCACACCGCTTGCTCATGGAGCTTTGTATCGCTCGCACGTGTGCGTTCTGTCTCGGCGAGGACCATCGGGGAGCATCCCGGATCATCGAGCAAAAAAGCACGCATAAGTACGACACATGCAAGGGTAATCGATGTCCGAGCGATGGCGAGCAGAGAGGGATCCATGATACCAGGAACATCGGGAACAGGCGCGGACAATCCGCAGACACGCTGCAGTGTATGAGTTGAAGGGCATTCTTTTGGGGATTCTTGGCGGTTCATATATGTGAGGTGGGCGTGATCGTCTGCAGCATGCAGTAAGCAGTGTGCCCCTTCCGCCTCCAATTCCCCCGTCCTGATGTTTTCTTCTCTTGCCTGTTCCCCGTCGCCGTCGTTCAGGCTGACAGGTTTGCAGGCAGGCACGGACGCTCAATTGCCTGCAGATGGTCTTGGAGTGTGAACCCAGTCCAAACTGAAAGATGTGGTTTCGCTCTCTCTGTCCGCGCTGCTGCTGCCGCTGGTCGTGCTGAGTTGATGGCTCATACATCGGGCATTTCGCCCACACTCGACAATGAAGAGGAAGAGGAGGAATATGGTAATGGTGATGATGATGACGATGATGAGGATGAGGATGAGGATGAGGATGAGGATGAGGATGAGGATGAGGATGGTGATGGTGATGGTGATGGTGATGATGATGATGATGATGATGATGATGATGATGATGATGATGATGATGATGATGATGATGATGATGATGATGGCGGTAGTGGTGGTGGTGGTGGTGATGATGATGGTGGTGATGATGATGGTGATGGTGAATGACGACGGCGACGATGACGATGACGATGGCCTTGTTTCAGGCAGCGTAAGTGTGCATATGCTCAGGCAAGCGCCCACTCATCGCCGATGGGTGCCTGGCGTTGTCTCTCCGATTCCAGCTCGATATTTCCTCTTCTGAACTGGTCCCCCCTCAACGTCGCCCCGCAACAGAGGGGTTTGGGGGAGGGGAGGGACATTCTAAGCAGGCAGGGGGGCTTCTTGGAAGGAACCCGCACCTCCCCATACCCTTCCGAGAAGGTGCATCGCCCATTCCAGTTCGATGTTCCCCCCTGAGTCCATCCGCCCCCCTATCTTTCCCCCTCACCCCTGAAGGCCCTCAGTGGCCTTCAGGACGTCTCGTCGTCGTCGTTGTCCATTTCTAGCACTCCCTCTCTCTCTCTCTCTCTCTCTGGAGGGCGGGGGGCCTTTCGACAGGGGGGGCTGTTGAAGGGCGGGGGTCACGCCAGCTGCCGGGTGCAGCTGGCCTTGGCCGCGCCGCGGGACACCCTTCCTCGACGATCGGTCGCTCACGGCGCCTCGAGGCGCCTGGCATACTAGCTGCATGCGGCCGGTCCGCAACCTGCCCCCTTCGCTGACCCTTCGCTCGTGCACCCGACCCTCGACCTCGCCCTCGCACTCCTCTGGGCTCCACAAACGGCTTCCGCCCAGGTGGGGTTGGAGCATCGCCGATGCATCGCCGATGCATCGCCCGTGCATCGTCGCCGCATCGGTTACGCGGCGCGATCCTCGGCCTCCAGCCCCGTTCACTTCGGACCCCGTGTGGCAGGGCTGCAGGGCCTGCGCCTCCGCCCCGTCTCTGGCCGCCGGCCCCGCCCGCCTTTTTTCCTTTTCCTGGCCGCCGGCCCGCCCCTGTCGGGCCGGACGACAGGGGGGGATTGGGAAAGGGGGGGTTACGAAACTTGCTGCACGCAGCTGGTTTCGGCCTCACCGAGGGGGCCATTTCTCGATGCATAGCCGCCTCCGGCGCCTGGAGGCGCCGTGAAAATCAGCTACGTGAGCTGGTTCTCAAACCCCCCCTTTGCTATCCCCTCTTTTCGCCCGACCCGCCCCTGGCTGCCGAGGCCTACTGCAGCGTGAGCGGCTCGCTGAGCGTCCTGGGCGACGCCGAGTCCCGCCGCCGCTACTGGAGGACCCCCGGGCGCGCAAGGTGTCGGCGGTGGCAGACGTGGCGCGCGCCGGTGCGTGCCAGGGCGCACGAGTTCGGGAGCCTTAAGACGGGGGTCAATGCAGACGGGGGTCAGCCAGGGCACCGGATCCTGCAGGATCCTGCGAAGACGCCCTCTGGCTGACCCGGGTTAGAGAGCCGCTCGTGGCTGCGAGGCGGCCGCGCCTATTGGCTGACCCGGGTTTGCGAAGACCTGCGCTGCAGTTTTTTTGTTCCTGCATTGCAGTTTTTGGTTTCCTGCTGACCCGGGTCTGGATGGACCCGGGTCAGAAGATCCCCGACGAGTCAGGGCTAGCTCGTGAGGGGAAAACACACACAGGCACAACGAATCGTCGATTCCCAGGAAAGTATGGGAGCATATGGGAAGTGGGGGGAAGACGACAATCCAGAAGCTATGGGAAAATATAGGGGAGTCCTCGGACTTGTGTGTACTTGTTTGGGCATCCCTGGGCCCCTTCAGAGTCAGGGGTAACGTCGGGGGGGACGTGCTCAGGGGCTGGGGTGGATCGACTCCCGATCGCCCAGCGATCGTGGATGCGTAGGGGCCCTGAGCCGGTCCCCCCTACGGGCGGAGCCAGGGGAGTGGTATTCTGAGCAGGCAGGGGGCTTCTTGCAGGGAAGCGGCACCTCCCCACACCCTCCTTAGAAGGCCCCTTGGAAGGCGGGAGGACTTCTAAGAAGGTAGGGCGCCTCCTGAGAAGGCCGCCCTCGATTGACCCGTGTGCCCAGTTCTCTAGGCGGTGACACCAGACGGCGGTGGTACCATGACCACCGACAAAGCGGCGAACCCGGTCCGCTGTCTTGAGGCGTGTCATGTCCCGACACGGGCTTCGGAGCGTCCCCTCGGTCCAGTTTTGACCCACCTCCCCCCAGGTGCGCGTCTGGTGTGCAACGCGGGAACATCGTTGCCACGCCATGCATCGTTGCCACGCCATGCAGCGCATGATTGCGAACACATTGCCGCATGATTTGCAGTATGCGTGTACTCATGTATGTTTGTTGTGCCGTCCGTAGCCGCCGAGGCATGTTCCAGAGCCAGGCTGAGGAAACAACTGGGCAATCACAGCTTGAGAGCTCCTGAGTTTCATCGTGTCTTGCGAACCTTCGGCCCTCCCAGCAGAGGAGCATGTGGTCTCTGGCGTTCCTTCAGGCAGCGACCCCCGAGCTGCGCGCTGCCGTTTTCGCCGCGGCCCGCTGTGCTGCTTGAGCTGCCTCACCTGGCCGTGGAAATGAATAGTTTCAAGTCAGTACCGTTTAACCGACCCCCTATCCCCAGCCCCATCCCTATGGAGACCCCCACCATCTCAGCAGCCCAGTTTGGGATGTACCCCTCGAAACCTAAAGGGAACAGCCTGAGTCATCATCTAGAGGGGTACATCGGCCAGTGGGACCCAGGCCACGCCATTAGGGTTAGGGGTCGGATAAATGGTGCTCAAGGTTTCCCTGATTTTCTATGACGCTTCTTGAAGTGGCAGCAACGGTGTACTCGGAAGGGTTGGACATACAGAGCAATACGCAGACTCACTTTCACTACGGCGTAGCTCCCCTCCTAGGAAGAGGGTCGTTTGGTGCGTGATGAGGGAGGTGCGAGATGGGTCAACACGAGAGCAGAAATGGCCAGGGTAAGCTCTGTCTTGTTGGGCTGGCGAGGGATTCGCAGTGGTGTGCTAGGACGAGCAGGCTGGTTTGTGACAGCTGGGCTGGCATCTGGCGATGTCGCCCAATCGAGCCCAGCTTTCCCCCTCTGTTCCGTTCCTTTGTCTGCTTAGCCGCTCAGGAATCTCTTGGGGAAGTCTGATGAGGAAGGGAGTTCTCAGTTCTCCTCCTTGGTGGAAGAGTGGATGCGGAACAGGGAAGTCGCAGTGGGCGGGAGTGGCGGCACGACGACTCGTGAGATACCGCGCGGTGTTTGGTATTCCTGCTCTACCCCCATGGGCAGAGAGGCGTCGGATGCCGAAGTGACGTGCCCAGTTTGATCTTACATGTATCATCGAGTGTACGTTGATGCGAGTAAAGTGTTTGTGCAAATGGCCCGACCCAGTGTTTCTTTTGATGAAGCTATTCAGAATTCAGAAAGGATTCCAGCCATTGATGCGCTCGCGCTCGTGCACTCACAGGCACACTCATAAGTGTGGACGGGCGTGCACACGTACTCCTGTGTTGGCACGCCAGTGCTCCCAATGGCATACGTGCGTGCGCATTCATACAATAGTGCAACCACTCACACTCAAAGTTTCCTTGTGTGAGCTAGCCAGCATGCATCAATTGAATCGCCCATGTGCAGACGAAGTTAAGTGTAATGTGTTGTGTTGCGTTCGTGTGCGAACATGCTAAACAACTGTACGTGTGCGTATGTGCATGGGCATACGCATGTGTACATGTCAGCCTGCAGACATGTACTCGCACCTCTATAGGTTTGTGTGCTTGAGTGAGTGCATGCGTGCGCGCGTATGTGTAGACATATATATATATATACACATACGTTTACATATATATATATATATATGTATATATGTATCCGCGCCTGTCCTGTGCTGCCTTGTCGCTCGCCCCTTTCGGCCATGCCTGTGCCGTCACTGCGCCTCGCCTGGCTTCTCTCGTGCTGTCGGCACTGGCCTTTTCTACGCCTCGACGCTGCGCGCGAGGCCGCGACGCCTAGACGTGTGTGTGTGTGTGCGTGTGTGTGTGTGTGCGTGTGTGCGTGTGTCTATATAGGTGTGGGCCTGCAATCGAGGGTACCACTTATGCATCACCACACGTCTACTCTGGCGCCGAGCCCGAGGAATTCTTCGCTTCCCTCGATTTCACCCTGCTGGATGGCGCCACTTCCCCACGGCCCCCCCCTGCGGAGGGCGGTCTACCCGCTTGGGAGGGACCCACCCCAAGGAAGCGGCCCGCCTCCCGCCCCAACTGCCAGCTTTCGTCGCGCAAGCGCAGGTACGCCAGCGCTATCTGCCACGAGGGGCTTCCCGGTACGAGCCCACCGTCCAGCTTGCGCGCCCCACCAGGCGCTGCGGACGCGCCTTGGCCCCCAGAGCGCCCCTGCCGCTGGGACTCTGTGCGCTCCTGCCACCCACGGGTGGCCCCTGCCGGGTCCTCCCTGGGAGCCCTCCCGCGGCCCCTGCCCTCGCCGCGCGGACACCTCGGCTCGGGCCCTCGGGCCATCTGCCCCCCGCGCGGGGCGAGCGGGGCGTTGGAGGACGGGCTCCAGCCCTCTGCGTCAAAGGGCTGCGGCTCCTCCTCTCTTCCGTTCCAGGCCTCGCCGTCCGCAGCGGCCAGCTCTGCCCCCGGGGAGGGCACCCGTGTGCGCTCCCAGCCTTCCTCCCCGGACCCACGGGGCTCTGGCCGCGGGCCGCCCTCTTGCCAGGGGCGGCGCGCGCTCCCCAGCCCCCTGTCCTGCAGGCCACTCCCCGCTGCGGCCCCTGCGCTGCCGCCGCGGTCCCTCCCCTGTCCTCCTGCCTGGTCCCCGGGCGGCTCCTGCGCTCTCCGCCTGATGTACAGTCATCCCGCGCAGCAAGGATGGGCGACCTTCCCAAGGGTACCCTTGCATCCTCGCCTCCTCGCTCCATTCTTGGCCACTTTCTCGTGGACCGCGCCCCGCTCGAGAGAAGCTTCGAGATGGCCCTCCAGGGCCCTCGCACCCTTACCGCGCATCCTTATCATGCGGGTTGACTGCACGCCTCCACTTCTCTCTCCCCTCCTGGCCCCTCCCCCTCCTGGGGGGGGGGGCAGGAGGGGAAGGGGCCTCTCCCCCTGGCCCCTCCCCCTCCCCCTCCTGGAGGGGGAGGGGGAGGTGCCAGGGCGGGGGGGGGGAGGGGGAGGGGCCTCCCTCCCCCGCCCCTTCCCCTGGCCCTTCCCTGCCTCCTCGGGGGGGGGGGGCCGGCCCGCCCCGGCCGCTCCCTCGCGGCGGCCCTCCTTCGGCCCTCCGCGCTCCCCGCGCGCGCTGCCCCGCCCCGCCAGCTCTCGCGGCTCCCCGGGCCTGCGACCTTCTGCGGCTCCGCCGCCTTCGGCTCGCTCTTCGCCGTCGCTCCTCGCCGCGCTCCTTCGTCGGTCCCTTTGCGGCTTCCCGCCTTTTCCAGTCCTGGCTGGCTTGTGTCATCCTCCACCCTCACCGTACTTACTCTCGTCCGTCGCGCTCCCTCAGTCCTGCGGCCTTCTGTGGCTCCACCGCCTTTGGCTCGCTCTCCGCCGTCGCTCCTTGTCGCTCTCCTTCGTCTTTCCGCTCTCGGCTGCTCGTTCTCCCAGCCTCCCAGTCCCGATTGGCCTATTCACCTTCCGCCCTGCCCGTAGCTTCGTCTGCCCACTGCTTCTCCCCGCAATCCAGGCCTGGATGGTCATTGCTGCCGCCAGCTGCGAGGCCCAAAATGGTCTCTGAGAGCTCGGCCGGGCGTAGACGCGCGCGTTCCGCTGCTTGCACTCGACTTTCTACGCCATGTCGCCGCGCACGGGGCCGCGATGACAAAAAGTGCAAGTGTGTGTGTGTGTGTGTGTCCCGCCCGCGTGATAGATGGCATGTGTCCTTTCGAGTAAATCGCTCGTTATGGTGATGTGTTGGTGTGTGCGCGCGTATCAGGCCGCCTGCAGCCCACATGGCTGCCGGGACTGGCTGACAGTGCGCGGTGAATCAGAGCAGCGCACCCCCAGAGGTCGAGGTCCGCCGAGGCTCTCCGAGGGCCTCCCCGCTGATCGCAGCCATGCCCGTGACCTCTGGCGCCCAGCGGCCGCGTCCAGCCGCCCGCCAGGCGGGGCCGGCGGCCGCCGCAGCTGCGCCCGCGCCCACGGCGAGTGTTAGTCCACCCGCGCCGGAGGAGGCGCCGCCGACGCTTTCGCCGCCGCCGCCGGCGTCGTCGTCGTCGTCGCTGCGGGCGCGACTGCAGAAGTGCTCTGGCCCGTCGGCACTGTCGCCAGAACCTAGTCGTTCGGCGCGTCAGGGTCGAATCCAGGTCACAGTGTGCGCGAGCACCGCTTGGGCTACTGTCATCGCAAGCGGGGCCCCTGCGAGTCCAGATGCGGTCGCCACGGAGGCCACTGTCATTCAAAAGTTTCGTATTGGTGTTGGAGTCAAAGCTGCTTCCCATAAACATGGTTTTCTCTCGCGAGGGATTTGCGCATGACGGTTCGAAAATTCAGACTGCTCGCCGAGACGATTGACAGTTTTCTCATGGGTTCAGCGCTAAGGATTTGCGTTGAGTCCGTCGAGTTGTCTTCCGCTTCGCAGCATGGCCCGCAGCACAGAAGGTCAAAGTTCTCGCCGAGCTCTGGCTGTTGGCGGGGAAGATTGCCCTCCCCAGACCGCCGGGAGCAGCCGATCACAGCGAATGAAACGAGAAAGAATTTGCCTGCTTGGCGCCTTCCCCATGGGCGCGCCGCCGCGGCCTCGGCCGCCGCCGTCTCCTTCTCTGGAGATCGCAGCCGCACGGTCAGGCGCTTTGCCATCAGCGGTTAAAAATTGGATTGCGCGGCCGCGCGTATCTGCCATCCGCGCTTTACGGAGGATGCGCAGGAATGGTGCTGCGCGGTGTGGCCGTGGCGCCGCTTTTTCGTCACAACACCCCCACGTGAGGCATCAGATGCACTACGCCTTGCTTGATGAGCGCCCCTATACCAGGCTTCCCGACAGCACGTATTGGCTCCCCCAGAGGCGCCGACGACACCTCACGTGCGACCACCCCCTCTCCGCCCCGCGCTAGTCAACCCGATTCGACCCCCCTCCACGCGATCACCCCTCCACGCTCATTGGCAGTGTGGGGCGAGGGGGAAGAGTCAGGAGGGGAAAAACACACAGACACAATTAATTGTCCATCCCCAGGAACATATAGGATAATATGGGAAGTGGGGAGGAAGACGAAAACCCAGAAAATATGGCAAAATATGGGAATCCTTTTATTTGTGTGTATTTATTTGTGTGTCCCAGGGCCCCTTCAAAGAGGACTGGAAAGAGGAACCTGCACCACTGCCCAGCGCGAAATCGGGTGAGGCCGCCGGCGCGTTCGACCTCGCCAGGACCCCTCGCACAGCCGTGGGGCCTTGGGCCCTATGACCGCCGAGGCTACGCTTAAGTCGGGCCTGTCCCCCTACAGGGGGACTTTCGACGAAACATAAAAATACCAAAATTCTCCCGGCAAAGCAACCTAACAGCGATGTGTAGGAGCATATCTGGAAGCATTCCCCTTAAGATTCAGATGAGAATCCAGTTGTAGAATTCTGCTGTTCTCGCAGTCGTAGTCGCATTCGCGATGACAGTCGCAGTGGCAACGGCAGTCGCAGTCACAGCCTCAGCCTCAGCCTGCCTCAGCCTCAGCCTCAGCCTGCCTCAGCCTCAGCCTGCCTCAGCCTCAGCCTCAGCCTGCTTCAGCCTCAGCATCAGTCTGCCTTCAGCCTCGGCCTCAGCCTCAGCCTGCCTCAGCCTCAGCCTGCATCAGCCTCAGCCTCAGCCTCAGCCTGCCTCAGCATCAGCCTGCCTCAGCCTCAGCCTCAGCCTGCCTCAGCCTCAGCCTCAGCCTGCTTCAGCCTCAGCCTCAGTCTGCCGTCGGCCTCGTCCTCAGCCTCAGCCTGCCTCAGCCTCAGCCTCAAGCCTGCCTCAGCCTCAGCCTCAGCCTCAGCCTGCCTCAGCCTCAGCCTGCCTCAGCCTGCCTCAGCCTGCCTCAGCCTCAGCCTCAGCCTCAGCCTCAGCCTCAGCCTCAGCCTGCTTCAGCCTCAGCCTCAGTCTGCCTGCAGCCTCGGCCTCAGCCTCACCCTGCCTCAGCCTGAGCCTGCCTCAGCCGCAGCCTCAGCCTCAGCCTCAGCCTGCCTCAGCCTCAGCCTCAGCCTGCTTCAGCCTCAGCCTCAGTCTGCCTTCAGCCTCGGCCTCAGCCTCAGCCTGCCTCAGCCTCAGCCTGCATCAGCCTCAGCCTCAGCCTCAGCCTGCCTCAGCATCAGCCTGCCTCAGCCTCAGCCTCAGCCTGCCTCAGCCTCAGCCTCAGCCTGCTCAGCCTCAGCCTCAGTCTGCCTTCAGCCTCGGCCTCAGCCTCAGCCTGCCTCAGCCTCAGCCTGCATCAGCCTCAGCCTCAGCCTCAGCCTCAGCCTGCCTCAGCATCAGCCTGCCTCAGCCTCAGCCTCAGCCTGCCTCAGCCTCAGCCTCAGCCTGCTTCAGCCTCAGCCCTCAGTCTGCCTTCAGCCTCGGCCTCAGCCTCAGGCCCTCAGCCTGCAGCCTCAGCCTCAGCCTCAGCCTCAGCCTCAGCCTCAGCCTCAGCCTCAGCCTGCCTCAGCCTCAGCCTCAGCCTGCTTCAGCCTCAGCCTCAGTCTGCCTTCAGCCTCGGCCTCAGCCTCAGCCTGCCTCAGCCTCAGCCTGCATCAGCCTCAGCCTCAGCCTCAGCCTGCCTCAGCATCAGCCTGCCTCAGCCTCAGCCTCAGCCTGCCTCAGCCTCAGCCTCAGCCTGCTTCAGCCTCAGCCTCAGTCTGCCTTCAGCCTCGGCCTCAGCCTCAGCCTGCCTCAGCCTCAGCCTGCATCAGCCTCAGCCTCAGCCTCAGCAGCCTGCCTCAGCCTCAGCCTGCCAGGTCAGCCTCAGCCTGCCTCAGCCTCAGCCTCAGCCTGCTTCAGCCTCAGCCTCAGTCTGCCTTCAGCCTGCAGCCTCAGCCTCAGCCTGCCTCAGCCTCAGCCTGCAGCCTCAGCAGCATTCAAAATGTGGCCCGGGAATGGAGTTCTGGGAACTCGAAGAACACGAAGTGGCCTACAGTTGGCTCCGGGCATTCAAAATCATGCCCAGGAATGGAGTTCTGGGAACTCGAAGAACACGAAGTGGCCTACAGTTGGCTCCGGGCATTCAAAATCATGCCCAGGAATGGAGTTCTGGGAACTCGAAGACCACGAAGTGGCCTACAGTTGGCTCCGGGCATTCAAAATCATGCCCAGGAATGGAGTTCTGGGAACTCGAAGAACACGAAGTGGCCTACAGTTGGTTCCGGGCATTCAAAATCATTCCCAGGAATGGAGTTCTGGGAACTCGAAGACCACGAAGTGCGTTACTGTTGGCTAAAAAAAGAGTCCCCGGCATCCTCCCTCGGATCGCGCCCAGACCCTCCTGGGGCGTCAAGATGCTCTCTTTTGACCCTACTGGAAATCTATCAGTCTTCGCTGTTAGGTAAATAGTCAAAACATAGTCCAAAAATAGTACGGGGACTATTTTTTGATTATTTTTTGGCCTTTTTGGGGTATGTTTCGGGTATTTTTTTTTCCGTCGAAAATCCCTCTGTAGGGGGACACGCCCGACATAAGGCTACGCTCCGCGAGTGGACTGGGCCTCTGGCTTCTTGGGGGGGCCCATCGATCCCGAAGCGCCCATCGATCGCCGATAGGGCCCCGAGAGCCCACCCTGCCAAGAGGACCGTGCGGGCTCTTGCCACGGAGGGCCCATGGCCGAACTCTCGGCGGCGCACTGCCGCTTCCAGGTCGAACACCCCCCCCATTGAGGAAGTCCTCCCCGATGCTTGCACCTCCTCCCCCCCCCCCGTTGAGTCATGGCCCTACGCCCACGGCGACGACGACGCAGCGGATTTCGACCGGGCCCAGGCCGCGCAGGCGGGGCCAGAGCAGACGGGATCGGAAGATCGTGACACGGCGCCGATGCATCGGTGATCGGCGCGATCCGAGACCCGATTGCGAATGCCTCACAGATGGTGCCGCCGACCCTGACGGGGGACGACGGCGGCGACGACGACGACGGCGACGATAAAGGAAATTCGAACATTCAAGAAAGTAATTGATCTTGCCATCTCGGGGTTTTCTCCCGAGTTCTCTCGGGCCTCTTTGGGTCCCATCGGGGACTTCTTGTGCGCATCTTGGGGCCTCTGGGGGGTTTTCTGGGGCGGAAGGCTCGAAATGTCGGTTGGCGTTCCCCCTTTCGGGGCCTCTTGGGGCCCCATTGAGGCGCGGATTTTCTGCATTGTCTTCGACGCATTGCTGATGCGGTGCGATCCTCTGACTCCATCCGACCTGGCTCCGGCTGAACAGCCTGGCGCAGGCCTCGGGGTTCTCCAGGCGGCTGCGGTGACCATGCCGTCCGGAGAGTCAAAAGTGATTCGGGATGCGCGGGCCGTTAGGGGTTTGGGTCGTTCTGCGCGGATGTTTCGGGCGCGCGGGGCTCTTGCAATTTCCCAGCCATTCGGTGACTGACCGTGCGGTGAGATCCTTGGGACTTCGACGTCATCAAGCGGCCTGTCACAACACGGTCTTGGGACCCCCAAAGGTCGAGATCCTCCATTCGCCGTTGCCCCTTGCGCAGGCGCCGAAGCCTTGGGAACAGCAGGACTACATCCTCCTGCGCCTCGCGGTAGACGAGGCCACCCAGCCATTGTCGCCGAGCTCTCTCGCGCGCCAGCAGAAAGCGGGAGGGAGGAAGGAGGAGGAAGGGGGAGGAGGAGGAGGAGAAGGAGGGGGATGATGATGAGGCTGATGATGTTGGGGATGATGTCTGGGTGCTGCTGATGATGAAGATGATGACACTGCTGATGATGGTGCTCATGATGATGATGATGATGATGATGATGATGATGATGATGATGATGGTGGTGGTGATGATGATGATGATGATGATGATGATGATGATGATGATGAGCATGATAGTGACGATGATGATGATGCTGCTGATGATGATGATGATGACGACCACGAGGATGTTGATCGGGATAAGGATGTTGATGGTGGTGATGATGCTGTTGATACTGATGATGTTGTTGTTGCCTGGTGATGAGGATGATGATGATGTTGATGCTGCCGACGGTGACGAGGATGATGCTGTTGACGATGATAATGATGATGATGTTGTTGTTGTTGTTGATGATGATGATGATGACGTTCATCATGATGCTGATGCTGATGATGATGATGATCATGCTGGTGACGATGATGATGCTTCTGATGACGGTGTTAGTGGTGTTGGTGATGATGGCGAAGAGGATGAAGAGGACAGCAACAGGAACCTGATCATGAGCATGCGTATGATCAGGATCATGGTGCTCAATCATATGACGATACGACTGTTAAGGATCGTTATGATGATGGTGATGATTGTGATGATGATGCTGATGATGTTGATGATGGCGATGCTGATGATGATGGTGGTCATGACAGTGATGATGAAGATGATGTTAATGATGACGGTGGTGTTGGTGGTGGTGGTGGCGATGGTGATGCTGAGGCTGATGAATCTGATGCTGATGATTATCATGATAGTGGTGGTGATAACGACGATGATGACGATGACGATGACGATGACGATGTCACCGACACCGACGACACCGACGACGATGATGATGATGATGATGATGATGATGATGATGATGATGATGATGATGATGATGATGCTGATGCTGATGATGATGATGATGATGATGATGATGATGATGATGATGATGATGATGATGATGATGATGATGATGATGATGATGATGCTGATGATGATGATGATGATGATGATGATGATGAGCCCCCGATTTGGTGATTTGTTTATCTAACTTCCGAGGTCTCCCCCCAAAGATAACCCCTTACTTGCCCAACATGCCCAGAAGAGGGCTTCAAAGGGTCCGAAGAGGACGATTTAGAGGGCCTCCAAATCCAATGCGTACCATTGTTTTGCGTGGCTTCGCGATGGTTTTACGGCTGTACGCCATTGACAATCATTCTTCTACAAGAAGGCGCTTCTGCTCATGGATATCGTAATATATGCACATCTGTGTATACACAAGTATCTTGTTCACGCCCACTTTCGCTTCTTCTTTTCGACATCGACGTCGCCGCCACTCTCGCCGAGCCGTCTGCAGGTCTCGCTGAGCAGCGTCGTGGACGGCCCGCAGCGCTGGGAGCAGCGCCGAGTCAGGCGGGAGACCCTTGGGAAGAGTGGCACGGTCGCGGCCGCTCGGTTATCGTGTGTGGAAGCCACCAGCACGTGTCCGCCAGCACGATTTGCCCACCCCAGGCCAGGACCAGCTCAGATATCCAGCGCTCACCTTTCTCTTGAGCGTCTTCTTCTTTCATTATTTTGCCAAAGATCGTCCAAAGATCGTCTTCTTCTTCATTATCATTCTTTCCAAAGGTCGTGTTCTTCTTCATCCTTGTGCCGATCGGCGCGCCCTCCCTCCCTCCACCCCTCCCGTGGAGCAGAGCTTGGCTGTCTTGGGCGCCTGCTTCGAGCAGGCGGATTTTCCCCCACGGGACGCACTGCTGCAAACAGTCGCGCTGAGCAGAGGTCCGGAGCCAGACCCCCCCCCCTCCCCCCCCTCTTCCACCCGATGTCGAAACGCCGAATGAGAAAACGTTGACCTGGCACGACCCTGGCCCTTCTGGGCCGCGTCCGGCTGCGGCGACGAGCCCCCCCCGTCCCCCCCCAGATTGAAGGTCACCTCGTGCCGCCCGCAGGTCTTCACTTCTTCGTCGCCCGCCTGCCCACCTCCGCCTTTTTGCTGCTTCCTCGCCCGTCCTCTGTCGCACGCGTTCGGCGCAGTTCGAAATGCGAGACGCTTCGCGTAAATTGAAAGTCACTCCGTATCGTCCGCAGGTCTTCGCCTTTTCCTCGTCCGCCCACCTCCTCCTCTTTGCTGCTTCCTCGCCCGCCCTCTGTCGCACGCGTTCGGCGCCATTCGAAATTCTAGATGCTCGCGTAACCCCAGCAGCCCGTTCAGAAACGATGCCAGGCGACTTGCCCTGATCAGGGATGTGGAGGAGCATACAGTGGAGTAAAAGGTTGGGTCAGACGTCGTACCCCAAGAGGGGGAGGATGGAGGAGGAATCAGAGAAGGGGAAGGGGATGAGGGACTAGGAAGGAGGAACAGGTGGATGAGGAAGAGTAGGATGAGGAGGAGGAGGAGGAGGAGGAGGAGGAGGAGGAGGAGGGCGAGCGAAAGGCAAGTGGCCTCTTGGATTCCTCCTTGGCGTTTCTTCTTGATTTCTGGCGTTTCTTCTGGATTTCTTTCGAAGCATTGCTGGATTCCTCTTGGGGAGTCTTGGGGGTCTCTTGGCAGTCCTGGGGCCTCTTGGGTGAGATTGGGTCAATATGGCAATCGCGACCAGGGCCCGAGGGCGCAAACAATCTCAAAAACATCTCTGGGGAAATCTCCTAACTGAGTTTGGCCGTTTACAAGATCTCTGGAACCTCTCTGGCTCAGAACATCTCTGGGGAAACCACCGGAAAATCTCCGGCTTCAAAACATCTCGGATATCCCCAACAAATGTTGATATGTGTTGGAGATTTGTTGGAGATCTGTTGGAGATTTGTTGTAGATTTGTTGGATATTCGTCAGGCGCGAAGTTTTTTTGTTTATGTTGAGTTGTTTTGACATTCGTTCGGACAATCGCAAGGCACGAAGATTTTTACCTAACAGCGAAGACTGATAGGTTTCTAGTAGTGTCAAAAGAGCTCACAGATCACTCCACAGGGGGGTCCAGGCAGGTGTTGGGGCGTTTCCGGGCGGCATGAGCCGGGCTCGTTTTTCACCAACAGTCACACACTTCGTGCTCTTCGCCTTCCCAGAACTCCATTCCCAGGCCACATTCTGGGGGGCCGGATGCAACAGTCACACACAAAGTGCTCTTCGACATCCCAGAACGCCATTCCCGGGCCACATTCTGGGGGGCCGGATGCAACAGTCACACACTTCGTGCTCTTCGAGTTCCCAGAACGCCATTCCCGGGCCACATTTTGGATGCCCGGAGCCAACTGTAGGCCACTTCGTGCTCTTCGATTCCCAGAACTCCATTCCCGGGCCACATTTTGAATGCCCGGAGCCAACTGTAGGCCACTTCGTGCTCTTCGAGTTCCCAGAACTCCATTCCCGGGCCACATTTTGAATGCCCGTAGCCAACTGTAGGCAACTTCGTGCTCTTCGACTTCCCAGAACTCCCATTCCTGGGCTACATTTTCAGCAGGGGCAAGAGCACGACGAGGAGGAGGACGAGCAAGACCAGGAGGACGAGGACGAGCAGGAGCAGGACGAGGAGCAGCAGGAGAAGAAGGACGAGCAGGAGGAGGAGGAGGACGAGCAGGAGGAGGAGGACGACCAGGAGGAGGAGGACGACCATGAAGAGGAGGAGGAGAGAGGAGGGGAGGGGGAGGAGTACCAGAGGAAGGAGGAGGAGGAGGAGGAGGAGGAGGAGAGGAGGAGGATGAAGGAGGAGGAGGGAGAGAAAGAGGAGGAGGAGGAGGAGGCTTAGGACGAGGAAGCCTGAAGGAGGAGAGGAGGAATGAGGAGGAGGAGGGGGGGGGTAGAGCACCAAGAGGAAGAACAGGACCACCGAGGATGCGGAGAAGGAGGAAGGAGGAGGAGGAGGAGGATGAGAGGAGGAGGATGAGGAGGAGAGAAAATGCAACGAGGATGAGACGAGCAAGATACGAGGATGAGAGAACGAGGCTCCATGAAGAGGAGAGGAGGAGAGGAGGGAGGGGAGGACTGCCAGGGGAGGAATGAGAAGAGGAGAGAAGGAGGAGTAGGAGGAGGAGGAGCAGGAGGAGGAAGAGGAGGAGGAGGACGAGGAGGAGGAGGAGGAGGAGGACGAGGAGGAGGAGGGGGGGGGAGAGCACCAGGAGGAGGAGAACGAGGACCACCAGGAGGAGGAGGAGGAGGAGGAGGAGGAGGAGGAGGAGGAGGAGGAGGAGGAGAGAGCACCAGGAGGAGGAGGACGAGCAAAACGAGGACGACGAGAACGAGGACGAGCAAGAGGAAGAGGAGGAGGAGGAGGAGGAGGAGGAGGAGGAGGAGCAGGAGAAAGAGGAGGAGGAGGAGGAGGAGGAGCAGGAGAAAGAAACGAGCAGGAGGAGGACGAGGACGAGCAGGAGGGAGAGGGAGGGGGTGGGAAGGAGAGAGGGAGGGGTACGAACAAACAACAACCGTACACGTAAAGAGGAGGGGAGGGGGCGGGCCACGGCTGACACGTGCCCCGGTCGTGCTGCGACAAGGGCGTCATTTGGAATATGTTTCGGAGAAGGAAGGCTCCCTAGCTCGAGACGCGCCTTTGTGAATGTGTACTTTGTAATTTCCTCGTAGCTTTCCTTTCCATCCTTTGGTAGTAGCTTCCACGCACTCCTGCGTCGCCAAGTTTCTTCTTGCAGCGTCCTTGTCGTGTCGCGGGGTGCGTTTGCGTCACTTCGGTGTTGCTGCGCCTTGAGACGTGTCTCTGCGCTCCCTAAGCTCGAGACGCTTTGAATACTTTTTAGTTTCCTCGTAGCTTCCTTTCCATGCCTTTGTAGCTTCCACGCACTCCTGCGTCGCCGAGTTTCTTCTTGCAGCGTCCTTGTCGTGTCTCGGGGTGCGTTTGCGTCACTTCGGTGTTGCTGCGCCTTGAGACGTGTCTCTGCTGCTTCTTCGTCCCATCGGGGAGTCCAGCGTCACCGAATTTGTTCCAGTATTGTGCTTGTCGTTCCAGGACGTGCGTACGCGCGCAGAATGTTTCTCTGCAGCGTCCTCGTCGCATCAGGATGTCCAGCGTCGCAGAATGCATCCTTGTAGCGCCTCTTCTTCCAGGGCGACGTGGTCCTGAGTCGCCGCGGACGACTCGCCGCGGACGGTTCCATTCGATTCCACGGGCGATCGTGCGCATGTAGTTTGCCACGCGCCGGCGCGCGCGGAGAGGGCCTGGGCGCCCTGTCGCCTGCGGGCGACCGCGCGGGTTAGTCCCCGCAAAAGCCAAAGAGGGCATTTCCACACGCCGGGGAAAGCCTAAAAGGGCTTTCGTCTGCCTGATCCCCCCCCCCTCTTTCCTTCTCTTCTTTCATCGAAGTCAGAACCCCCGCCCCCTATGACGTCCTCCGCTGGCCTGGGTGGTCTACTCAGGTCGCGGAGGGGGATAGGGGTGGGGTCGTTGCCACGGCTGGTGCCTCGATTTCACGACGGGGAGGGGGGGGTGCACCGTTCCCTCGGATGGGCACATCCCCCCCTCCAAGGGCCTCCGAGCCCTCCCTCTCCGTCCTTTTCTTCTCCCTTATCCTTCCCTCCCTCGCGGTTTTCGAAGCCTTTGGCGTCTCCGCCCACCACAGCGGGGATCTCGACCCCCCAATGGGATTCGTGGAGCGGGGGGGGCCTTGAGAAACGAAACATTTCTTGGGGCGGGGCCACACAGCACACACATCACATCCATCGAGTCACGCACACATACAGCAACACGCTTTCTCGACTCCACAGGGGGGGTGCTTCGTGGAGGCATCACTTGTAACTTTGCAATTCTGTAATCATTGCCGTTCTGGTTCAAAGAACTTGGATTGCAGGAGTTCGCGGCAAAAGCGAGCCTTGTCCGCGTCCGCTCAACCAGTCTCACCGTGCCGTGCACGGTGTTTCTCAGCCTGTGTCACTGTGCGCTCCACGGTGATCCTCCGGGTGAGCTACCATGGCTGCTGCTGCAGAACAGCCGACGTCTCCACTGGGTTTTCTCACGAAGAGCAGCGCCAAAACCCAAGACTTCCTTGTCCGAGTATACAAGCCCAGGGAGATCAAGTACTCGTACAAGAGCAGGAACAATGGCCAGCTAGTCCATGCAAACCGATTCACATGCATTCTGCTTGGCACAGACTCAGAGCACTATTGTGAGGCCATCCTCAAAGGAACTCCAGCAGAAGTCCAAGCTGCTCTGAAAAAGTTCCCTCCGATGACGGCGTGGAAACTCTCCAGCGTCGGCCTGGACAGTCGGCAGCAGGACGCTTTTGTGCATACGTCTGTTCGTGTCGTGGTCGACCTCAAGCGCACAACCTGCAGTCCAGTGCTCAAAAGCTCTCCGGAGGAGACCTCCTTGGCATCGGCGCCGGCTCCAGCGACTACAGTGGCAGACATGATGAACATCAAATCGCAGCGTTGCTTCGATGTCATGGCTGTGGTTCATTCTGTTTCAGACGCC